CGTTTCACGTCCGGTAACCACGAGTAAAAACGAGAAGATATTCAAGTCTCGGGTGAAACCGTGGAACGGTGATCAAGAATCACCGGGTCACAAATATTCGAGAGAAGCTAACGAACCTAGTCATCGAAGAACACGGAGGGCAACCAGGCCGAAGGAGGATAACAAAAACACTTGTTCTCTTTTTATTCAAACCGATCCGCTCATATGGAGACATATATCGGAACAGGTAAATTTGGAATACACGCGAAATTACGTTTTTTCCTTTAAGTGTATTTTAACGTGGTTTCGATCTTGAAAGGAGAAAGATAATCCGAAGTAGATGGGCTCCTCCGGTTCTAGTCGCATTCGTACGACTATTTCTTAGCAATGGGAGATGGCGTAATTTCATTTCGCATTTTCTTCTAAACTAGACGTGCCGGCATTCCGGTGTCCTTGGCCCGATAGAACATTTCCATTTCTGCATTTTCTTCGGTCGGACGTTCTTTGCCGTGCCGTTGTAAAAATTACAAAAATATTTGACTTTTCGACTGCACTTTCAGTTACATCATGACGCGGAGAAGACCAGAGAGGAAATACTGTCTCTGATCGCGCACCACGTTACCGCTGTGAATTACATCTATAGAGACACCAGATTTGACGGCAGAATCAAACATAGGAATATTAAATTCGAGGTGCAACGGATAAAGGTGACTACATCATCGGATAATTTCTACGCGCCGCGAATATACCATCTGTCACGCGTTGAACGTTAAATACGATTATTCTGTTCGCGATAGATCGATGACGATACAGCTTGCACGCCCCAACAAACGTATGGCGAGCCAAACCCGTTCTGCATGGAGAACATCGACGTTAGCAACTTTTTAAATTTGCATTCGCTCGGCAACCACGAAGATTTTTGCCTCGCCTATGTGTTCACGTATAGGTACGAAAAGAGCGAACTATTCGAAAATATACGTATCAAGAAGATTTATATCACTGGTCTAAATTATTAACAGAGATTTTACTGGCGGCACGCTTGGTCTTGCTTGGGTAGCCTCGGCATCCGGTGCATCCGGCGGCATTTGCGAAAGATACAAAACATACACGGAAACTGTCGGGGGAATGTATCAATCCACCAAGAGATCTTTGAATACCGGAATCATCACGTTTGTTAATTATAACAGCAGAGTACCACCGAAGGTGTCACAGCTGACATTGGCCCACGAGATAGGACATAATTTCGGATCACCTGTAAGGATTTATAGTGGAACATTGGAGGATTTATCGTTACATCGTTATTGTAATCGTTTGTTTTCGCAGCATTTCGTTTCACCCTAACCCAGCATTTAATCGCGCTTTCTTTGCAGCACGATTTTCCACCGGAATGCAGACCTGGTGGATTGCACGGAAATTATATTATGTTTGCGTCAGCGACGAGCGGCGACCGACCTAATAATAGTAAATTTTCGAAATGCAGTATCGGTAATATCAGCAACGTTTTAGACGCCATCGAAGACAACAAGAAGAGAAATTGTTTCACCGGTATGTGTGCGCGCGTGCATGCTTGCGCGCGCGTATGTGTGTAGTTAAGGAAGTGTTAAGGGATATAAAGTATGCTTATCTGGATCGAAAGGTGAATCTTATTTCGTTTAATTCGTTTATACGCAGCTTCTGCTGGTGCATTCTGTGGGAATAAGATCGTCGAAGCCGGAGAAGAATGCGATTGCGGGTACGATGACGACGAATGCGTGGATAAATGTTGCTATCCGAGACAAGTATCGGAATTGGATAAGATAAAAAATGAGACGGCGAAAGGTTGCACCAGGAAGTCCGGAACGCAATGCAGGTACGTATGTTTCTCACTCGGTGTACTCATTTCGTACTCGGTGAAGCTACATTTCGGAAAAAAATTTCCGACACAGAATGCATCGTCCGACTCGCGTAATCGGGAATCTCACGAGTCCCTTTCTTACAGTCCCAGTCAAGGGCCTTGCTGTTCCAGCGAATCGTGCCAGTTCGTTCCTCTCTCTAAAAATGTTCAATGCAAAGCGGAATCGGATTGTAGCTACAATTCGACTTGTAATGGACGATCCTCCGAGTGTCCTCCGCCATTGCCAAGGGCTAACAAAACTAGATGTAACGAGGGAACTCAGGTAAAGGAAGCTTTTAAATTTGACGAGATTTTTACGTAGAACGATGCATATAGATATTTTGGAAATTACGTCCCGAAAATTTGTTCGCAGTTGTGCATCAATGGCGAGTGTACAGGATCGATTTGCCTAGAGTGGAATCTGACCGAGTGCTTTTTGACTAGTAACGTAATTCCAAATATCGATAAACGTAAATTGTGCGAATTAGCTTGTCAAAATGGAACCGATCCATCGACCTGCCGTAGTACTAGCGAATTTGCGCACGTTGTTGGTCTGCCTGAAGGTGGAATTAGCCTCCGGCCTGGATCACCTTGTGATAACTTTCAAGTAAAAACCTAATATTATATATTACTTTATAAATTTACTATTTATGTTTAGAGCTTTTAATAGCGATAGAACGCTCCTTCTAGGGATATTGCGATGTATTTTTGAAGTGTAGAGCGGTTGACGCGGAAGGACCATTAGCCAGACTGAAGAATCTTTTATTCAATAAGGACACGTTACGTACAGTAGCACAATGGATAACTGTAAGTATGAATTTCATCTATACGCTGGACTTTACATCACTTTACATCGTGCGAGATTATACCGATATAATATCAAACGTTTTCTATCTTAGGAATTCTGGTGGGCAGTGCTATTAATGGGAATAGCGTTTATTATTTTCATGGGTTTATTCATCAAGTGCTGTGCCGTTCATACTCCTTCGAGTAATCCTAAGAAACCACCAGCGAGACGTATTAGCGATACATTAAGAAGACCGATGAATACTCTGAGAAGAATGGTATGTCGTATATAAGAATAATAAAATGTAACGTAAATGATTACAATATATATAAAGTAGTTTTCGCATACTTTAAAATAAAAAATGGCGTAATTATGTTTTTATAGCGACATCCACATGGCGGAGGTGGAGCCGGTCCCAGAAGTATACCTCCTAGACAAAATCAAGGAGGCCATGGTGCTACTCGGGGCCCCTCTCACGGCTATGGAGAGGGTAGAGGTGCCCAATATTATCCCAAAGGTAAATCCACGTGATAATTTCGATCGCTTTTTAATGCGGCTATCGTTGCTCGAGTTTGATCCTAATAAATGTTGCTCGTTCTAATACGTACCGTATGTTTGTTTATTACCTGGTAAAATATGGATTAAACTCAAGCTAAGAAGCTTGCCGTTATGTATCTGTCCCTGTGTGATCTGCAACTACATCAATGTTTTTTCCTGTTTGCATCTTCCTCGCATTGATTGACGCGCATCACTACCTGATACTATCGTTCTATGACCTACAGAGGTGAGCTGGGGCCTATACTTTATACCCTTGGTAGGAGCAAATTCACGAATAGAATCGCGATAGGAAAATCACGATAGATGGCTACGATGTTCTACGATGAACGAGTCATTTTCCATATCACCATGTCACTGTGAATTCTTGTATTTGCTCCTGGTAGTCTCTCTTTCATAACCATTCGACGAAAGCCATCGGGTAGTACTTTCATTCGATCGTTAATATCAAAGTAAAATTTAGTATCAGTATCTACTCCGCTTACGCATCATTCGTATTAATTTCGATAGTATCTTTGCGAAATATGGCTTTTGTATGATTAGTGGATCTTGCTAGAAGTATTATCTTGCTGGTAATTGAAAAAATTAAGCGCATGATAAATTTTGTCATTTTTTCTAACGAGCCAAGTGGTTGTACCAATAATGACTAACTTATTATCTCGGTACATTCGTTGTTTAGTTGGCTTCGATATATCTTTTCACGATCGAATACTTTTGTAAACTTTAAGCAGGCTATCGCTCGGTTCCCACAGCTAGTGCGCCACCCAGTAGCAGCGCAGCACCCAACTACGGCCGGTCCAATCATCCAGAATTGTACGCCGGCGCCT